AGAATTATAGCCTCAGTCCTGCAACCGGATCCTATCGAGCAACCGATCATTCCTACAAAATGAGTATCGTCAATAGTACAAAAACACAAGATCTCTTCTTGTGAATGAAAACATGTTCCTAAGTTTGGTAGACTTTCCGTCTCTGTTTTGAGTGGATCACTCAACCCAAATTTTCTCATTCGTAATTTTTACATCAATGAATTTTATTATATTTTCAATAACTGAAACGCTAATTTTTAAATTTTTTTTGCATATGTGATTGGTCAGGTTATAGACTTGGGAGTGCTTGAAACTATCCAAGTTGCATTGAAGTTTACACCTCGCGACATCAAGTAATTTTTTTTATCTCACGTTTATTATTTTGAGTGATCCTTCAAGTTCATATTAATTCAATACTTATTCTACTTTTAATAATAGTGACTCTCGTGTATCCTGCTGTGTGAGATCCTCTATGAGGGTTGCAGTAAAGAAGAAGAAAGAAAAGCCATATACCTAATCAGGTTTGTAAGGATCGGGAGATTTAGAGGTATAAACTTTTCTTATCTATTAAATTAAAAAAAAAAATAATAGATAATATTATTTTCAAGTGGATGTTAATTGTATTATAATATATTTACCTATTTATTCGCTTCAGGTGAACTCCAAATCACCAATGCATTTGAGGCATCACAGCTCTTGATTAATCCTGCAATTTCCGAGACTGATGCCTTCAACAAATGTGATGTTTCATTCATCTTTAAGATTTTATCTTCGGTCTATATAGGTATTTTCTTGAACATGATTTCATTATGTTGTTTATATACATATTAATAAACTAATCATGCTGTATTTATATGGAAATTAGGATTTATAATAACGTGAAAAAGACAAAGTATCTGGAAATAACTTATCTTTTATTTTAAATTTATGTTCTCTTTATAGAATAATGAAATCCATAAAATTTATAATGTTGAATATTAATATTTTCTCTGAGGGTATATTATTCCTGAAAGGAAAAAAAAATTCACCATTTTTAAGACACTTAAACACAGATACTAGAGCTGTAATTAATAACTGTAACAGTAAATAGAAAAAGTCAAAAGAATCTTAGGCTTTCTTGCCATTGTTATTTGGCTTTTGTTATTCAGATTTTTTTTGAATCAATTTTACAACAATTAGATTTTTATTAACTATTAACTATGGATCAAAAAGAAAGATGCGAAATCAGATTTACCTTTTTGTGGTCTTTCAAATCTTCTTAGGAATTTGTCAAAGAGACCTGAAAAGATGAAGTTCTTCAGCCATCTCAAACTCATCGTGTTTTTCACGGATGCCTTCAGATCCAATATGCATAACAAGTTAAAAAAAAAACAAGTAAGATTTTCTTTTTAGATTTTTATATCTGCTAAAAGAAAAAATAGAGAAAATCACCTAAATAGACTGGAAAAGGTGAAGTACTTTGATTTGCTGCCATCGATTTGCACCTCTTCAAGCAGTCGTTTCCATTTTTACCACCACAAGTAAGCCGCGGCCGTTCGTATCATGAGTGCTCTAGCTTCGATTAAAGTTTGGCCATGGAAATCGTCTTTCGATAAAGAAACATCGAGACATAAAATTTTGTTCTTTCCTTTTCTGTTTTTTTTTAAAGTGATTGGTCATTGACCACACAATTTTGTCATCGTTTCAGATGTTTTTACTTTGGGCCATTCGGGTCGGGATTAGTATCTTTTGTATTTCAAGTTCTTATTTCTATGTGCAATTCGGGCCCATTATAAATATTGTGTTTGTATTAACAAACATGATTAAACATATGATTATTAGTTTTTACTTTTTAAATATATGTTTAGACATTCCTAAAATATCATAATGAAACACGTAAATATTTATTTAGAGCTTAGTACAAATGTATGTTAACAAAAAAAATTGTTTATAAAATAACTTTAGCATAATAGAGAATATGTATTTATGCATAATAATATTTTCACCTAAAATAAAGAATTACAACACATATACAATACAATTTTATTTAGTGATAATAGAAAATATGTTACTTATAAAAAACTACATACTATTAATTTCAGATTTGGAAAATAAAATTCAACCTTCAACACATAATTTTTTTTGTGATGTTGCAATTATAAATACACACAATAACTACATATTGATACTGAAGTTACTTTGTTCCATCTCCTCCATGTAAAATATTGTGTACCAGCATTTTTCTGTGTCTGATGCTTTACCTCAAAGGCGGTGGTCTTATGATAGAAAATCTATTACTTCTAAAACTTTGTATTATTAAGTCCATAATTTGAATCTGTATATACCCGCACAGGATGCGGACCGGTCACCTAGTTTTATCTTAAACAAAAACTCCCAAATTATGTAAAAAGGTAAATTTTTTATTTTTATTTTTAAATTTTTTTTTTGTGCACTGAAGGTAAATTTTTTATTTTTAAGAAATGCTTCAGGCTCCTGGAATCTTCGGCCTTGTCGCAACCGTTCCAATATCCTAATTTTGACTCAGGTTCGGGTTTGGATTAAGGTTTTGGTTTTTATCCCCATATGTAGTTGAAGGCTTGAAGCTTTTGGCTTTGCCGACAAATGATGTTTTAGTTTATTATTGTAAGTGTATTATTATGAACCGTCTATATTGGTATCACTGGAATCTGGATAGCTTAGACTTGTGATTGAATATTGATGAAAAATAGAGTATTCTAATTTAAAAAAAAAGATATTAAAGAAAGCGAAATAATTTATTTAGGGGTTGAAGTCACAGGCTGGATTGGATGGACGTTGAATCTAAAAATCTTCAAAGACTATAATTAAAAAAGAAAAAAAAAATCTTAAATCTTTTCTTTTCGAAACTTGCTTTGCTGTGAAACCCATCTCCAAAAGTTTGTTCCTTTTCATAGGGGAAGGAGGAAGAAGAAGGAAGAAAGAAAGGCTTATCAAAACCCTCATCTCAAAATCCACAATAAATCCGCAAAATTAGGGTTCTTTTCTGTTTCTTTGCTTCGTTACTACGCTTTCATTCTTTCTCTTCCTTCCTTCCTTCCTGATTACGAATCGCCATTTCCCAATCTTCGATTCATACTTGCTGTAAAGGTTCCAACTTTTGAATTGGGTTCTTGTTCTGCTTTCAAAGGTTTCAACTTTCTCTTATAAAAATCTCCTCTTTTTGCATTTGCTTGATTACATAGTTTGTTCATTTTTGTTTACAGAAATGGCGGATACGATACCGTTTTATCTAAACATCGTGGCGTTTCTATGTACTGTTGGAGCCATTGCCTTGGCTATATTTCATATCTACAGGCATCTCTTGAACTACACGGAGCCGACTTATCAGAGATACATCGTACGCATCATCTTCATGGTCCCGGTTAGTATTCTCCTCACCATCTCTTTAACCTCTTGACATTGTTTTAGTCCTCTGACATGTTGTTCTTGATTGTTTTCTTATTCTCACTGCTAGGTTTATGCCTTGATGTCATTCCTGTCTCTTGTTCTACCTAGAAGCTCCATTTATTTTGATTCCATACGAGAAGTGTGAGTGTTCTTTGAGTTTCTGTCTCTGCTCTGTATCTTGAACCTTGAGCGTTTACAATGTTAAGTGTGACTCTATCTAATGGTGACTTTTTGGTGTGTTTTCAGTTATGAAGCATGGGTCATTTACAACTTCCTGTCCCTGTGTTTGGCATGGGTTGGGGGCCCAGGAGCAGTAGTGCTTAGTTTAAGCGGTCGCTCTCTTAAACCATCATGGTGTCTCATGACTTGTTGCTTCCCACCATTAACTTTGGATGGGTAAGTTAGTTTGCGTTACGAAACCAAGTTCCTTTCTACTCATCAAGAGTAGGCGGTGATTACATAGCCTTTCACGTTAATAACTGTCATTAAAGACAACCATTTGCTTGCACATAACATATACATTGAATATTCTGTTTGGATGTCTCGATCTCATGCTGGTTTCGTACTGTCTTAGTTGAAATCTGTTTGACACATGCGGCTTGTTTTTTCCTTCTATGCAGGCGTTTTATTCGACGATGCAAGCAAGGCTGTCTGCAATTTGTAATTCTGAAGCCTATCCTAGTGGCAGTCACACTTGTGCTTTATGCAAAAGGGAAGTACAAGGATGGAAACTTTAACCCTGATCAAGCGTATCTCTACCTTACCATCATCTATACCATATCCTACACAGTGGCTTTGTACGCACTTGTGTTGTTTTACATGGCGTGCAGAGATCTCCTTCAGCCATTCAATCCAGTCCCCAAGTTTGTGATCATTAAGTCTGTGGTCTTTCTAACCTATTGGCAGGTAAATTAAGGTTCTAACTTTTGATTACTAGACATCTTGACTTTGTCTTGAAGTGTTGCTTGACTTTCTTTCTTGAACAGGGTGTTCTTGTTTTTCTTGCTGCAAAATCTGGATTCATACAGACGGCAGAGGAAGCAGCTCATTTTCAGAATTTTATAATATGTGTGGAGATGCTTATTGCTGCAGCATGCCATTTCTACGCTTTTCCTTACAAGGAGTATGCAGGTGCCAATGTTGGTGGATCCGGAAGTTTCTCAGGGAGCTTATCACATGCTGTAAAACTAAATGACTTCTATCATGACACTGTCCACCAGGTAAACTGATCTTGTTTTGAGTAAGTACATTCTCCTTTTGGCTTTGTCCTGATGATTGGTTGTTTATAACAGTTTGCTCCTACTTATCACGATTATGTACTCTATAATCATACTGATGGTGGAGACGAGGGGACAAAGAAGTACCGGTCGAGAACGTTTGTGCCAACTGGCCAAGAGATGGATGCGATGAGAAAGAACCAAACTGTGTATGCAAACAAGATAGATGGTGTTTCAGTCTCAAGTAGTGTATCTTCAGTGGGAAGCTCACCGAAAAGCTCCAGCGTAACATCTGATCCTGCACGCCCTGATGCTGTGAAATCTTCATTGCTTGTTGATGCCTCGGACTCTCTTGATACGATGTATGATATGTCGCTCATTGACATTGATATATCTAGCTTGCCAAGCAATGTCCCCTCAGCAAGTGAAAGTGAGTCTCGATAGCAACAGAAAGGAAGATGTAGAAAGCACCATTTCAAGGTGCAAAAAACGTGGTCCTAATAGTTGGAATCAGATGAATCTTCGAAGGTGTGTTCTTAGTTGGAAGATGTAAGTAGGAAACTTGAGGATAAATGAAAAAGCTTCTAAACCCTGTTTGCCTTGAGCTCTTGTAGCTTTATGTGATGAGTCTTCTACTAGCATTTTCTTTTACAGCATATTTCTTGTTCTTGCCTGCTTTGTAGATATATACAAGGGATTTCTCAAGCTTGTGAATTGTTTCGCGGCGAGTAATATTCTTTCAAATATACATGTAACTAGTTGAGTTTGCAGAATCTTGAAAAGTTTACATTTCGTGTGTTTATTGGCACCAATTTCTTAAGTTGGGGGGAGCATAGTAATAAACTACAAAGGCTTTGAAACTCTTTAACGGCTAAGGCTATAGAGCAGATGTTGAACTTGTGTACCTAACACAGGTTCTTTGGAGACGGTGTTGTTAGAATATATGTTGTGACATTCAATAAGAGGTCTTGTTCTTAGGATGGTTGGTGTTTTGACAAAACCAAGCATAGTAAATGCATTGGAGTTAGGCGTATCCTTTCATTAATGCCTCATGTCACATCTTCACACACCTAACTTACACTTGACTGCTTAGCTCCACCAAACAGAAACTATTTCATATTCTTGTGTGACCACAAAAAGTTGTTACTGGTATAATAAGATATCAAAAGTAATCAAGGCACTTGAGGATTTGTATAGTAGAAAAAAATCAAGTATGTGTAAGTGTAAGCATAAAATTTCATGAGCACATCTTTTTATTATTGTCACTCTCTTTTTATAAAGAATAATCAAATAAATTTTTATTTTCTTTAACATAAAGGGGGCATACTCATTCTTTGAACTATTGTCTTTGGTTACTACGTACAATTTTTTTACAATTTCAGCATCTCGAAAATGTCTTCTGATTCAATGTATGTGTGCCTTTTAAGTAAAAGCTATAGAGCTGACCCAAAAAAAGAAGTAAAAGCTATATTAGTAATAATTAGTTTTTAAGTATTGTTTTAGATAAATACACACATTCATTCTCGAAACAAATGGTTTCATTCACTGGCTTTACTTTGATGTGAGATCGTTGGTCACCGGGGAAAACGTTAAATTAAAGTCTCACCAGAATTTTGGATGGATTAACGAGGACATAGGTTTGCGCCAATAAAATCACACTAGTGGTATGTATATAAGAGAGGGATACATTAATGCAAACGCTTTTTATAACCAAAAGCTTCGACATAACACGACTGCGTTTGCGACGAAAGACAGAGCGTTTAGGGATCTCTATAAACCCTTTACTTTAAGAACTCCATTTTCCAAACTTGGAAACATAAAAGATCCCTAAAAAGAAAAAAAAAATACCAGTTTCTCAGCCTCCACTGAATATGAGTGAGAAGCTCGTTTTCAGAAGCAGCGGTGGCGGCGGCGAACGTTACTGCCATGGAGAGTATTTGGAGAAGAGACAGCTGTTTCTCAGGAGCTACCAGTTCTCAAGGAAACAGAGCTTTAGGGAGAAGGTTACTAGATCTGTGAGGAGAGTGAAGAGGTTCGTGTGGACAAAGTTGAGATCAGCGAGGAAGTTGAAACGCGTTGTCTGGTCTCGACTCAGATCGGCGTTTTTCTACCGCCGCAGACGCTTTTTCCGCCTCCTTCATTTACACCAAGACGAACCTTCTTACAACTGTTTCTAAAGGTTTTAGAGATTTGGGTTACTCTTTGAGTCAGTGTGTTTGTTCCTATCTTTGATTATGTTTTTGCTTTTGCTCAAATAAATCATTGTATAATCTCCGTTAAATCAGATGATTAGTAAGTTTAATTGAAGTTTTAGATTTAACAGTATTTTTTCTATATTTGTTTCTTTAATTAAATTTGGTTTTTGGAATGGGGGAAGTCAAAAGTGTTGTATGTACGGATAGAATCATGCAAGAAACGTGAACTTAGCGTTGAATCACAAGACAGTTTAAGACACGAAGTCAGAGAAGGGTTCCTCTTTGCGTGTCCCTTGGTCAACAAGTTCACAGCTACGTTTACCTTCTAATGGGCCTTATAGTCTTAAGNTTTAATTAAATTTGGTTTTTGGAATGGGGGAAGTCAAAAGTGTTGTATGTACGGATAGAATCATGCAAGAAACGTGAACTTAGCGTTGAATCACAAGACAGTTTAAGACACGAAGTCAGAGAAGGGTTCCTCTTTGCGTGTCCCTTGGTCAACAAGTTCACAGCTACGTTTACCTTCTAATGGGCCTTATAGTCTTAAGAAAAATGAGCCAACATTGGGCCCATAACAGATAAGGAAAATGTGACTGGGAATCTCATATTTGGCCCATTATTAAATCTCTTTTTCAAAACGTCTCATGACTTCCTGTAAATGTTGCATTTGTTTGTTAGTATGTAGCAACCAGTAACCACTTTGTTGCAGTAGCCTCCTTATTCAGAACATTTAACATTTTCTTGAACCAAAATACAAAATTAATCATAAGAAATAAACATTTGGGACTTTTGTCTTTCTCATTTTTCCCTCTCTTCTATTCATGTGTTCCAAATGATTAGTTAGTGGCTTCTCTTCTCCTTTATCTCTTATTTAAGATATAAAACTTCTTAAGATTCAATCATTGCACATGGCTCTCAATTTCCCTATTCACTATAACACCAATTCTTTATATGTTTCTCTGTCCTTTTTTGGGTATGTGACAGCCATAGATAGCCACATAGGTCAAATACATGGCAGCTGCATGCAATCTCTCTCTGACTTGTGTGGTTAAACAAGAATTGAACAAAATTCAGAAGATTTGGGGATTTGTAGGTTTTAATAAATACAAAATTAAGAATATAGCCATGTGCTTTCAGAATCTTTCCCTCACTCTCCCTATCATTTAATGGAGCCTTCTTGATTTTTTCTTATCAACCATCATCAACTGTTTCTCTTTTGATTCATAACTCATTTAAGTGTTTTCTTAATTTTAGAGCTACTTTCAAACCACTTCATCAACAAAATCTTTGAAAAACATTTTTTTTTCTTGTTTTGTATCTTCAAGACAAGCTCAAGATGCTGCGGATTCTTGGTAAGTACCGGTCAAGATCATCGTGCCAGTACAAAAAGCTAAGTCATCATCACGAGAAGGTTACGACAAGACATAACTTGGGGAAGAAGCTAGAGGGTAGGTCAAAAGGGTTTAGACTAAACCGACCAAGGAGGCTGGTTCTTAAGGCACTGGTTTTACCAAGAAGGATCTTGAGCATTTACGCGCGCATCACAGACAAAATGAACAGAGAAGGTTTCTATCCCAATCTCATTCTCTCTTCTCACTGGGGCTTCCCTATTGTATTAGAGAAAAAGCTCATATTTTGACGTTTGTGACTTCATATAGACAAAAGATAGATCAAAAACAGAGGAATCAAACTGTAACCATATGCTATGCTATCTATGATGTTATATGCTTGTGTATGGTGCTTAATAATGAAACGACTTTACATTACTCATGTTTGGTCCACAAGTTACACATATAGTCCCCCACATTATCCTTGATACATTTTACAAATATCTAATATAGTAAGCTAAGTGCTTATCAAATTGATCTTGGTACTGAATATATAAAGATCACACTCAATAGAGCTTAATCTTCCTAAGGCTTGCGATGCGTCATGTTAACTGCACTGGCTAGTGAAACTCGAACTTGAGTTTCAAGTACATTATAAAGCATTACTTTGCCAGGATTTGTCGTTAACAATACACGAGATAGACTAGTGAACCCACTAAAAACACATTATTTAATATAATTGCTGGAGATTAAGCGTGACAGATAAAGCATCAATTAAGGGAGAGAAAAAAGGTAAGAAGAGAGATTAACATGATAAAGGAGACGACCACTTTACAGGACATAAAAAACTTTACAAAATAGAATGTGATGATTTATGGCAACCATCTCGTTTTTTTTAAATATGGGCTATAGTGAGAAGCAACACATATAAAGATTGAAGCTTGTCTGTAAAGTGTAAAGTAACAAACTTTTTTTTGTCACTTTGAGAGAATAAAAAGTATCATTATAAAGCTGTAAAAGGGTTGGTGAAGACGACATTCTTGTAAAGAAGCTGATGTGACAAGAAGAAACTATTTCCTAGAAGAAGGTTATATGAGGAGTTTGGTGTGTAAGAAGATGTGGTGGATTGTACATCGAAGGAAGAACAAGAGGAACTTACACCGCGATTTTGAGGTACATGTTGCAAGAACCTGAGGTTCAGATTCATATATATTTTCAGTATTAAACATGAAAACTTCAAAACAAAAGTGTTGTAACTTAACAGGACAAGAGTATATGTGACTTGGGGAAAGACTTGGATGAGATACTAAAGGGGAGGCTAGAGACTATAGAGGAGGAACCAGAAGCAGAAGAGCGAGAGCGGTTAGGAGAATCGCAGAAGCCAATGTTGGCTAAGGCTAAGTTGAAAGTAGAAAAGGGTAAGGCAATAGTAAAGGCACAGGTGAAAAGTGGGAAAGTGTTTTACATGTTGTGTGTTATTGGTTTAGCCTCTAAAAGAGGTTTTAATGATCTTGTTTTTCACTAAAACCCTCTCAACTCCTAATTTTCTTCTTCATATTCTTAACTTTTGTTTTCTTTACTTGACTGTGAATGTATGTAAATAAATATGTGTGTATTTTATCTGCTATACTTGTGTTTTTCAGTTTTAAGTTTGTCTTTGTTTCGTTTTTTTTTTATTTCTCTGGTATATTATTCTTTTATATATGTAGCTCAATACGTAGTATTTGCCTATTTGGTGCAACTCAAGCCTAGGATTTGATTTGCTGTCGCTATATATGTAAAAGATACAACTGTCTTTAGTATTATCAGAGAGTCTGATCTAGGAAATCTTATTCCATCATAATCAAACGTCCGATCCAAAGTTGGCCAATTGATTTTTATCAAAATATTCTGAGATTAATGATTAAAAACTATTATTTTGAAGAAATATATTATAGACAGTGTCACGCATCGAAAGTTAGAAAATATATTAAGCAATATATAAGAAAGATGAAAAAAAATCCATTATTAAGTTTCAAAGTCCATCTAACTTATTATCCGTTCATGTTTACCACTACTATTCTCGTCACACTTACTAAATGAAAAAGTTGAAGTCATGAATCTACCATGCATCAACTAATCACCATGAGGCTGATACCGGTTTAGTATTAACTTCCAAAACTCATGAACTTCTAAGGTTCCCCACACACAGTATATAACTTTCTTTTCAAAGTTTTATAATTGATATGAGTGATGATATTAATATCAGCTAGTATGAGATCTACTTTCCTAATTATGACTCCATTTCTTTTCCTTTTCCTTACGGTTCTTGCATCTACCGGGCCAAGTCCATCTCCCATATTGAGACAAGAAAATCAAAGCAACAACCTAGTCTCAGCCATTGCCGACATGATTAGGGAATCTTATAACGGTTTTGGCACCCTTCTCCTTCTCCATGTCCTCAACGATACAGATTTCTACAAGAACCAAGAGATTACTTTCTTGATGCCTAGCGACGACCATCTTTCTCAAGCAGACATGAGTCAAGAGAGTCTTGAGACATTTATACTAAGACATACGATCCCTGCGTGGCTTATGATCAACCACATGCTTCGTTTCCCAAACAAAACTCTTGTTCCTAGTAGCATCCCTGATAAAATGTTCATTATCACAAAATCTGGTAGGTCGGGGGGACTATATGTGAACAATGCGAGGATCGTTTCTCCTAATATTTGTCGGAATTCTCGCGTAGCTTGCCACGGAGTCAGCAACGTTATTACATTCACCGAAGACTCATTTTCAAAGGCAATGTTATCATCAGTTCGTGAAACGTATAGGCACTGAAGCTCTCTATCTTAACCACACAAAATTTGAAGGGTGCATGTGACTATCTTGTATCTTCTAAAGTCATAAAAAGGTTGTAGATTTCTCAAAGTCATAAAGTTGCAGTGTATTAACTGACACCATGTTGTTGCAAATTTGCATTTCTAAATCACTCAACCAACCAATATATTTAAAAGATTTCTCTAAATCATTAAATCATTTCCCCGAACAGTTGAAAAAAACTGTCTACTTGTTGTTTTCTCAAACATTTTCACACTTCACATAATTCACTTATTTCATATAATTAAATAGAATACTTTTAATAAATTTTGAATACTAGTCTATACTGTTACAGTGAAACCTCTATAAATTAGTAATGTTGGGAGTACACCAAAATTTTATTTTATTTTATTAATTTATAGTGATATTAATTTATCGATATACTAATCGAACCAAAAACTCTATTTGGGACTACAAATTATATTATTTTATAGAGATATTTAGTGTATATTAATTTATCGATTATTAATTTATAGAGGCTCTACTGTATATGCAAAGTGATTCTTTCGTATTCGAACTCTCACGTTAAAACTTAAAACGGTTAATATCTAAAATACCCTTAATGAATCAATAATCTTTTAATATTTAATTAACTATATATTAAAAACTAATTTCAATAATTTGATAATTATCATTATCTAAAAATAGTCTATATTTGGTTATAGTCTTTATTAACATTAATGATTAATTAAATTAGTTACAAAATAATTAACCATAAATTAAAAATGAATTTCAGTGATTTAATAATTATTATTATATAAAAGTAGTTTATATTGATTGTGGTATCTAGAATAATTTTACATCATAAGTTTTTTAAAGGATAAATTGATATACATAATTTTATGTACATGAGTGTTTTCATGTTTATTTACGTAATACAAACTATTTATGTTATAATTAATGAAAATTTTTGTATATATAATTTTTAATTTAGTTTAAAATTAAATATTTGAACATATGAACAATAATTTAATTTCATAATATTTGTATTGATAATATATCTATTTATAACTATCTGTAAAATTATTAATATTTATAAATAAAATATGATAGAGTTTGGTGAAACTAATTTTCAAACGCTTTGTTGACGAGTAGCAACTAGACGGATAAGTGTTAACAAATTATTTTATATTTAAATCAATTTTTTATTTTGGATTTAGTTATAAAACCATTCGGATGAATTACTAAATTTTAATATATTTAAACTAATTTAAAACGGTTAAAACCAATTTAGAGTTGTTTAAACTTTTTGATATAAATTAGATTTTATGAAAATTATTTAGGTTAATATCAGTTTGAGCCCGGGGTCTGTCTAGTAAAATTATTTTGTTTATCTCGATAAGTAGTACCACCTTTATCGAAAGAAAAAGAAAAAGCCGAATCTAATTAATTAATCCCCTATATATTAATTGAGAAACATTTGAAAAGATGTAACCTCAAGTTTGTATTAATTAAAAAGTAACCTTGCTTAGTTGTCAATCAATTAGCATATCAATTAAACTGACGTGGCGGCTTTAGGTTCAATTGAAATTTGCTAGGGAAAAATAATTAGAGACGCATATAACGCATGTAACATAGTTTATATATTT